GGAAGAAAGAACAAATTATTTCTAAACAATAATTCATTAAATGGATTTTACCATGTGAGACATATGACAAGATAGCACAGTAATGTACACATGGAGACTTTAAATAAAAATAATTGCAGTAACAGTATCAGTTATGTAATCTAAAACATAAAACAGGATTCGGAAACAATTTCCAAATCAATCAACCAAGCAAGCAAGCAAAACTGACAGACAGACAAATAAATAAATTACATCTCATTGAATTATAACTATAAATATAAATAAACAAATATATTACATCTCATTGAACTATAACTATGAATATGGCACAAGATATGTTGAGGAAGCTGAGGGTGCCACAATATTTTAATGTGGAGCATTCCAGCTAGCAAACAGTGGTGGTCCTGTGTGGTAACTAGGCACATCTGGCCCATGATGTGCCTGACTTTGCGCATCCAGGTCATCCAGGATACGTAGCATCTCTATTTTGGCTCTGGTTTGTTCTCTTTTTCTCAGAGATCTCATTTGAGGTCCTAAACTTAGAAGGAAAAGCTCAGTTTCATCATGTTGTTTTGGTGGCACTATTGGAAAGTCCATAAGTTTTTCATTAATTTGTGTGTTCAGACTTTTTGGGATGTCTCTTCTTTTTTTTCTGGGTCTCTGGGGCCGTTCTAGAACTTCTCTTTCAGTTTGTGATGTCTCCAGTACTGGGCTTTCCTCTTCTGAAGTCATTTGTGTGTCTAAATCACCTTCATGGATCGACTCATCTATATAGTTTTCGAAATCCACATTACTGATTGTACTGGGGGAAAGACAGAGGGACACATTTTTTACTACCATTAGTTCACCCAAAAATGAAAATTCTGTCATTAATTACTCACCCTCATGTCGTTCTAAACACGTAAGACCTTCGTTAATTTTCGGGAAAAAAATTAAAATATTTTTGATGAAACGACATGATGGTGAGTGATTAATGATAGAATTTTCATTTTTGGGTGATCTATCCCTTTAAAAGTCTACTTCAAGTCATACTTTAGTCATATGCACTCTTTGTTACAAAGTTAATTTGAAGTGCATTACTAGAAATTACTACACTACTACAATTACTACATAACTACAAATATTACCTTCTATTTTGTAGAAATACATTCAGGTAGGAAATCGCAGCAGCATATTTCCATTCCTGTTGACGCACTGCTCCAGAGCCACTTGGCAACTGCTGTCTTTTTTTCCACTTAATGTAGCTGTCTCGAAGTGACTTCCATCTTGTCCTGCACTCATTTTCTGTGAAGAGATAGAAATGAATTTTTATATTAATGTTTGTTTTACAGGTATCTGGCCTGACCTGGAAA